AATGATCATGACCATAAAGATGTGGAGGTTGATATGGTGATGTTGTCAATAACCATGATCATGCATGTGAAGATGTGAAGGCCCTGGATGAAGGTGTGAATGAAAGAATGTATAATGATCTTTGCAAGGAGTATATATTGATGTCAAAGAACACACAATCTATAAATGATATGTCTACCCATAATGATGAAAGTGTTAAACCAATAGCCTATATGACATATGCTGATGAAGATAGAAGTTTCTTAAATCATATTGCCCATATAGAAATCATCAAATGGACTCCAAGACTATCATGTATTCCGAAGTTCAATATTTTTCATATGGATGTGAAAAGTGTCTCTCTATAGGTACTTGAATATGGAAGATGAAGACCTTTTATGTGCCAACATAATGAATAAATAATGGAGAAGTTAACCAAGTCTCATGACAAGAGTACTCATGAAAAGGATCATGTGATAAAGGTGAATGACAACATTGATAATGTTATATGCGCTTATGAAGGCTTTATCCCTGTGAACAATGGAGTTCATGATGGATATGAACAAGTTATTGAAGATACTACTGAAGATGTTGATCCCTACAAAAATATGTTGAAGATAAAGCATGTGAAGTGGATAGCCACTGAAAGGAAGACTTCAAGAGAAGCTCTAACAATTAAAGCAAGTAATCAGGTACTGAAGGATATCAGTTGTGTTAGATGGATGTCAGACTCGACGGTGAATAATTTTGTCCAAAAAATGAAGTTTGGGTTTGAGATGAGTTATGTAAGGAAATTGTATCACTTTCTCGATCTTTAAAAATGGAATATGGAGAATAGTAGTGTTGTATCCTAAAGGGTCTGCACAAGGTTTTAAGAAAATTCCAATACCAGTATTCTTTCTCAAGATAGTAGAATCCTGAGGTTTGATAATGAGACATGTGACTATGATATACTTCACTCACATGACACCAACTTGATATTAGTTGGATATTGTGATTGGTTTGGAAGTATAAATGGTAGAAAGAGCACATATGTGTGTTATAGTACTTAATTGAAGTGGATACACCTAATGATGAAAGGAGTGTAATGTGGGATAAGGTGCCATGACAACATTTCAACATATGAGTGCGATCAATATTTCGAAGAATCTTATTAAACATAGAATAACCAATCACATGGACATTCGTCAACATTTTATTTGGGAGCTTGTTGAAGATAAAATTGTATCTCTGAAACATGTTGCAACTAAACAACATTTGGTTGAAATTTTCACATAAGCTTTGGAATAAAATAAATTTGAAAAACTAAGGAGAGTCCTTGGTATTTGCATCTTTGAGAGTCTATATCAGTCAATGCTAGGGATGTGTGCAAGGGATTGTTTCTCCTTTTAGGTATGTTTTGCACATGAAACAAAGCAGATTTTACTTGTTTAAAAACCTCTCTTATTTGAATCTTCATTAAAAGCAAGAATAGGTTGCTTAGTCCTCTATACTGATCACTTTATATCTCTTAATCTAGTTCTAATTGGTCCCAAGATGAGGCAAAAATATGAAAATCAAAGGAAGAGTTCCGCTACCAAAAGGACTCTCAATCATGAAGGCTGGAGACAACAAGAACAAGGGAGTTGGGTTTATCTCTTCTGCAATTAGTGGGGTCATATTTGATGGATCATGTAGTGAGGCATCTATTACTGGAAAAATATGTGACCAAGATGAAGTTCTTGAAGAAGATACCAGTTCAAGCTCATTAATCTGACTCAGAGGCTGATGAATACTGGATTAAATACATGAATCGTATAGGATGGATAGATGAGTAAATCAGAAGGAAGTTGTTCTTATGTGGTTCAGTTTAGTTTGTTGGCCCATGTATTTTGTGCATGTTTGTTGACCTGTAAGAGCTCTATAGCCTCTTAAGACTAGTTTGAATAAATGCTTGTGCATCTTTTGATGTTGATTCTGATTGTTTTACTCATGATCTTATTGTGTATGTATTAACATACTAACCTATGCATAACAAACCTCTAGTTGCTATTTTGGAGTGCTAATATTTTTCCAAATTATGGAAAAAGGAGGACTAGTGGTGTAGTGTGATATTTGTTAGTAAACTGACTAACAAATAATTGTTTAGTACTAAACTATCTAGTAAGCACTAATGTTGTGCGCACATGTTATAACATCAGACAAGACATCTGGCCTTTTTGGAGTTAGTTTTTGTGTAAGTAGTTTTATGCATATTTTTATACTAACCACTAACTATTTGTGTTATGCATGACTAAGTATGTGAATGATTTCATGCTAATAATTATTAGTTGGTAGGATTGTATGCTACTAACTATGTGTTGACTGGATACATGCATGGCTAAGTTTATGAATGATTACATGTTTGATTTGGAGCAACTGAATGGATTGTATGTAAGCATATGAATGTTGATGCTATAGATTTTTGTTGCTGATGGTGGTACTTAACTCTGATGATTGGAAGATAGCTATCATTGTTGATTGTATGCTATGATAATCTGGTCCTTCTACTGGTTGTCACTTATTCTAGTCTGAATAAGTGCTTTGTCTTGAAGAGTTGTTTTGCCGAAAATTTTCAAATAGGGGGATTATAGTTCCTTTTGGATTGTATCTTTGAATTGGTTGTACTTTAAAAAAACAATGTAGAGAAGTGTTCAAAGTGTTCGAGATTAATCTAGCTTGCTTAAGATGTATAGAGGTGCAGAAGGGACACATGATGGACACGATATCACAGCATGTTGGTACGACATCTGGGCCTTGCACAACATGTCAATGTTGTTGCATTTTGGAAGACTTTCTGATTAAAGATTGTGTTATACCCCAATTTCCCCCCCTAAGATTCCTCTATCATCTCATACCATCACAATGCAGCAAGATCACGCATTAGGGTTCATTACTTCTTCTATTGTGTCTTATCTTTAAGTTTGCTCTTGAGAGATCACCAAGCATATTGAATCGTGTATCTTGTGTATATATGTTTTATATTTTACTGACCTCTAACCAAAATCCAAAAATATGTCTTGTTTATTTACTTTCTTGTAAGACAGGGTTTCTGATCAAGAAATTCAGGTGATGGTTCTCCGATAAGGGTTGTGGTTTGTTCGGGCCAAATATGTTCCCCAAAAGCCTATGTTTCAGAGTGGTGATCTATAATCTTAGGTCACACTATCTTCAAGCTTCACTCAACATTGTTAGGACGAGTTCGGTGACTTAATTCTCAAGACTCTTCGAGATAGGTTCATATGTTTATTTCCATTCCTTCTTCGACGAGTAATCTCAAGTTCTGACAAGTGTGAGCATGATTTGGTCGAGATTTCGTCATCTCAAGTTCATATGTGCTTAAGAATTCCTTGGGTTATGGAAAAAGATCAAGTTTGCAAGTTGATTCAAAGCACTTTGACCAAAAAGGCATTTTTCAAGTTGTCATGCCCCACTTTTTTAATTTCTATTTCAAAAAACCAAAAGAATTAAAATAGTTTATCATTTGCATTTTCTATCATATTTCTATTTTTTTAAGTTCAAAAATATATCTTTGGTTTTAAGTTTAATTCAATTTTAAATATATTTTTTAAGTTTAATTATTATAGAAAACTAAAATAGATTTTAAAGTTCAGTTTAATTTTTATTTTTACTAACAATTTTCTCTTTATTGTTTTTTTAATTTAATTAATAATTGGATTTGAAATTGAGTTTTTATTTCTAATTATTAATTAGATTTATTTTCAATTAAATTTACACATTTCATTAATAATTGATTTTGTTTTTTTTATTAAGTTGGCAAATTCAATTCAAATTTACATATTTGATTTGAATTTACAATTTTTTTATTACAATCTCAATTATTAAATGAATTATCTTTTTGTTTCAATAGTTGATTTTATTTTATTTTTATCTCAATTCAAGTTGAATATATCCTTTTTTAATTTGAACTGTTATTAAAATTATTTTAAATATTTTCATTTAGTTCAAAATTTTATTTCTATTTTATATATTACTATCCAATTGATTTTTTTTTGTAGTATTGCTATTATTATTATTTTTTGTTAATTGTTACTAGCAATTTTATATCTATTTCTATTTCTTTTAGATATTATTAACTATTTTTTTCTTTTTCTCATTATTATTATTATTATTATTATTAATATCATTATTGTATTTTTTTTTTGTTATTAATTATTTTTGTTTTGTTCTCATTATTGTTATTATCATTGTTGTATTTTATTATTTTATTTTTTATTGTTACTAACACTTTGTTTTTTTTTTATTATTGTTACTATTACGTTATTATTTGTTTATTTTTGTCAAAAATAGAGAAGGAAAATTGCAAATTGGACCACCAAATGATTCACGGTTTAATTAATCAAGGGATCACACTCATCCGTAAAGCCTTCACGCGGATACGTCTCAAACATCACTCCAATCCCAAATTTTAAGCTCCAAAATTTCCCTCTCAATCTTTCAATTCTTCCCACATTTTTTTCACCAAAAATTTCAATCTTCATTCCTATATAAACACGATCTCAGAATCACAAAAATACACAAGAAATTGGGGGAAGAAAAAGATGAAGAGGAATTTGTAATGCTGTCAAACTGAAAAAGGAAGCTTCCCCAAGCAACTTCAACCTGTGATATTTTCTGGATTTCTCAGATTCAACAATTCCAGCAATATTTCTCAGATTCAAAGTAAATTATAGAAGAGGAAGGGAAGATTATTTTATAGATTATCATGCCTATTCGAATTCCACATTACCTCTGGTTTTCTATCTTGCTTCACGCCGACATCGGAATCCTCGGACTAGCTCAGAGCTTATGAATTTCCTTTTCGTTCCCTCAAATAATTTTCTCTTCCTTATTGTGTTGCTGTTGATATTTGTTGTTATTATGGTGATGTTGTTTAAATTGAATCAGACGTAAACTAAGAGAAACATACCGAAGCCGTCAGAATCAATCAGAGTTGAGAGAAGCTATGTATATTGTTTTTCTATTTAGAACCATGAAATCGAATGAAGAGAATCAGTTGTTACTGTTGCGTTGAAAACATAATATTATTGTTAATTTTCACCACAAAACAGAGAAGTAAAACCATTGACAGATTTATGTTGTTGTTGTTGTTAGCTTGTTTTAATGAAGAAGAAGAAAAGTGGAGATGGAAGAGAGTGATATTCGGAAAACATAGAAAGTTTAGCGTGAAAACAAAACAATTGAGTGGCTGGTTTTGTAAGGCTTCTAGGGTTTCTTGGAACTCTCATTATGGATCGATTTGGGCCTTATGGAAAATCCGCCCCAAATTCCACTAAATCCATTTATTTTTGTTTATTCTGCTGAAAATAAAAAGTTGTTTGGGCCTTGCTTGCAATAAACAATTTAGAGCCCAGCGAGAATTACTCCACATACCCTCCTGTTTTGCTGTTTGTTACACTTTTTTTTAATTACTTTATTTTGTATGTTGTTATATTTTTTGTTTTAGTTTTGTTAGTTAATTGATTAGATAATAATGTAGTTTAAACTTAGACTTAGTAATGTTTAGAATTAACTTAATTATTCTTATAATTTTAATATTTGTTTAATTTTTAGTTAATAATTTTATATATTTTGTTTAGTTATTTTTTAATGATTTTTTACAAGTATGCATAATTTTTCTGTCTTTTTTATTTATGTATTTTTTAATTAAATTTCTATTTGTTTAACTAATTTTTACTAATCGTTCGTTTGGATTTATTTTATTATTTCTTATTTTTTCTTTCATGATTAAATATGTGTTGATTAATATCATTGCTAATTCTATTTCTTGATAATTTATTTAACTTTGATACATGTTCTTAACTCACTTTATCTTGAGTTTTCTTTTCACATGAGACCTTTAGATTATTTCTTTATTATTCTAGTTTCGTCTGTCTGTGTGGCCTTTCATCTGATGAAGAGATTCTTATTCGATACTTGGAGTTCTTATCTGATGCTTTGAGCTTTACATGACACATTATGTTTATTTGATACCTCGGGTTTATCAGACGTACATTCTACTTGTGATTTATTCTTACTTGCTGTGACATATTCTCACATGATGCTCGATATATTCTTGGTTTATTATTATGCTTGTCTGGTTTCAATCCAAAGGAGGGGTATTCTATATTGATTTCTCTATGTCAAGTATTGACTGTTAGTCAAAATAAAAGAGAGATAAAGAGAGTATGAAGGAGAAACAAGAAAAAATAATAGTAAAAAGAAGGCAAAATACTCATTTTGGTCCCTTAACTATACCCTTGGGTTCACATTGGTCCCTTAATTTTTTTTCGGGTCATTTTGGTCCCTTAACTTTCAAAATGTTTCATTTTAGTCCTTTTTGTCTAATTAGCGACAGATTTAGTGACGTATTTCAAAGTTTTTCCGTCGCTAATTAGACAAAAAGGACTAAAATGAAACTTTTTGAAAGTTAAGGGACCAAAATGACACGAAAAAAAGTTAAGGGACCAATGTGAACCCAAGGGTATAGTTAAGGGACCAAAATGAGTATTTTGCCTAAAAAGAAACAATAATGGTTATGAGAACTTTAAGAAGATGTTAAATAATAACCATTCACCTTTCTTGTTTTATTGGCTATAAAAGCCTTGTATCTTTCATTTGTAATCATCAGAACATAATTTCAATAAATTCTTTCAGTGTAATTGAGTTGTGAAATTTTCATGTGAGGAGAGGTTAATGAATTTATAGATTTCATTTTTCATTAAGTTTGTGTGCTTCCGCATTATTTTGTTCTTCCACAAATCTGATAATATGGGGAAATTTTGCGTAGTTTCCTAACAACTGGTATCAGATCCAGTTGGTTGATTTTTTTCTAATTTTTTCTAGTAAAGAAATTTTTAGAGACGATCCTGAGGAAGTCAGATTTAAGTGGGAGTGATGGATGCAGACGAAGGAAAAATGAAAATTGAAAAGTTCGATGGTGTGGACTTTAGCTTTTGGAAGATGCAGATTGAAGATTATCTATATCAGAAAAAGCTACATCAACCTCTCATGGAAACGAAGCCAGATTCGATGAAGGAAGATGAGTGGAACCTTCTCGATAGGCAAGCACTTAGTGTTATCCGATTGTCGTTATCTCGAAATATTGCTTTTAACATTGCGAAGGAGAAGACAACCGCTGGTCTTTTGAAGGATCTTTCAAGCATGTATGAAAAGCCTTCCGCATCAAATAAAGTTCATTTGATGAGACAGTTATTTACACTTCGGATGACAGAAGACACTTCAATTGCACAACATATCAATGAACTCAATATTGTAACAAACCAATTGAGTTCAGTTGGAATTGAGTTTGACGATGAAGTACGAGCATTGATACTTTTGTCTTCCTTACCAGATAGTTGGAGTGCTACTGTCACGGCAGTGAGTAGCTCGTCAGGAAGTACAAAGATGAAATTTGATGATGTTCGTGATCTGGTTCTCAGTGAAGAGATCAGGCGAAGAGAGTTGGGTGAATCATCATCCTCTTCAGTATTACATACAGAGGAAAGAGGAAGAAATTCAACCAGGGGATATGGACGTGGTAAATCAAAGGACCGACGATCCAAATCCAGAAACCATCGTAGTTTCAATAATTCGAAGACTATCGAATGTTGGAATTATGGAAAGAAAGGGCATTACAAAAATCAATGTAGACTCCCACCAAAGAATCAAGAGGTAAAGGATGAAGCAAATGTTGCTTCCACTTCAAGAGGAGAAGACGCGTTGATATGCTCTTTGGATAATAAGGAAGAGTCTTGGGTGTTAGACTCTGGAGCATCCTTCCATGCCGCTTCCCAGAAAGAATTCTTTAATAATTATGTCTCTGGAAACCTCGATAAATTTTACCTCGGTAATGAGCAATCATGTGAGATTACAGGTAAAGGTGTAGTGAAGATTAAGTTAGGTGGGTCTGAATGGGAATTGAAAAATGTAAGACATATTCCCGACCTGACAAAGAACTTAATCTCAGTAGGCCAGTTGGCTAGTGAAGGCTACACAACCGTCTTTCATGGTGATCAATGGAAGATTTCAAAGGGTGCAATGACAGTTGCTCGCGGTAAAAAGAATGGTACTCTTTATAAGACAGCAGGAGCATGTCACTTGATTGCAGTTGCGACAAATGAAAGTCCAAATCTATGGCACCAGAGATTGGGCCATATGAGTGAGAAAGGGATGAAGATTATGCACTCAAAAGGAAAACTACCAGGTCTTAAGTCAATAGAAATTGACATGTGTGAAGATTGTATACTTGGAAAGCAGAAGAGAGCCAGCTTTCAGACAAATGGGAGAACCCCAAAGAAGGAAAGGCTTGAGCTTATTCACTCTGATGTTTGGGGTCCAACTACCGTCCCTCATCTATTGGTGGGAAGAAATACTTTGTGACTTTTATTGATGATCATTCCAGAAAGGTATGGGTATACTTTCTGAAATATAAGTCTGACGTATTTGAGGCTTTCAAGTTGTGGAAAGAAATGGTAGAAAATGAGACCGGATTGAAGATAAAAAAGCTCTGAACTGACAATGGTGGTGAATATGTAGACACCAAGTTCAAGAAGTTATGCTATGAGCACGTAATAAGAATGGAGAGGATTGTGCCAGGTACACCTCAACAGAATGGTGTAGATGAGCGTATGAATCGAACGTTGACTGAAAGAGCCAGAAGCTTACATGTGCAGTCAGGATTACCAAAGCAGTTCTGGGCAGAGGCAGTCAACACATCAGCTTATTTAATCAATCGAGGTCCATCAGTACCATTGGAGCATAGAATACCAGAAGAGGTATGGAGCGAAAAAGAGGTAAAACTTTCACATCTTAAAGTTTTCGGCTGTGTAGCATATGTGAACATTAGTGATCATGGCAGGAATAAGCTTAACCCCAAATCAAAGAAATGCACTTTCCTCGGTTATGGTGAGGATGAGTTTGGGTATCGTTTATGGGATGATGAAAACAAGAAGATGATCCGCAGTAGAGATATGGTCTTTAATGAAAGAGTTATGTACAAAGATAGGCATAACACAAGCACCAATGAATCAAAATTATATGACCCAGTTTATGCAGAGGTGGATGATATCCTAGAAAGTCCTACAATTGAAAGTCCTCAATTAGAGGAATCAAATGAACAAAGCAGTAAGCAACATTATGACGCATCAGAGACTTGTACTCCAACTCCTATATTGAGAAGCTCTTCTCGACCTCATGTTGCCAATAGGAGATACATGGACTACATGTTGCTAACTGATGGAGGTGAGCCTGAAGACTATGCAGAAGCATGTCAGACCACAGATGCTAGTAAGTGGGAGCTTGCAATGAAAGATGATATGACGTCTTTAATCTCCAACCAGACATGGGAACTAGCTGAGTTACCTAGTGGAAAAAAGGCACTCCACAACAAATGGGTGTATCGAATAAAAGAGGATCATGATGGTTCTAAGCGATACAAAGCCCGACTAGTTGTCAAAGGATTTCAGCAAAAAGAAGGAGTTGATTACACTGAAATATTTGCTCCAGTTGTGAAGCTCAATACTATCAGGTCAGTTTTAAGTATTGTGGCCAGCAAAGAGCTCTACCTTGAGCAATTGGACGTGAAGACTGTGTTTCTCCATGGAGACTTAGATGAGGAGATCTACATGCACCAACCTGAAGGTTTCTTAGAGGAAGGGAAACAAAATATGGTGTGCAGATTAAAGAAGAGCTTGTATGGCCTGAAACAGGCTCCAAGACAGTGGTATATGAAGTTTGAAAGCTTTATGACAAGGAAGGTTTCCAGAAGTGCAATACCGATCACTGTTATTTCTTCAAGATATATAAGTGCAATTACATCATTTTGCTACTCTATGTCGATGATATGTTAGTAGCAGGTCCAGATATGGATGAAATCAGAAACTTGAAGATGCAGTTATCAAAGGAGTTTGACATGAAGGATTTGGGTCCAACAAAGAAGATTCTTGGAATGCAAATCATGAGAGATAAGAAAAGAGGAATTTTGCAGTTATCTCAGGCAGAGTACATCAATCGTATTTTGCAAAGATTCAACATGGGCAATGCCAAACCGGTTAGCACACCTTTGGCAAGTCATTTTCGCCTATCCAAGGACCAGTCTCCTCAGACGGAGGAAGAAAGAGAATTCATGGCTAAGATTCCATATGCTTCAGCCATAGGAAGTTTGATGTACGCAATGGTATGTACTAGGCCAGACATTGGCCATGCAGTGGGAGTTGTAAGCAGGTTTATGGCAAATCCAGGAAAAGTTCACTGGGAAGCAGTCAAGTGGATTTTGCGGTATCTACGAGGCACTAAA